GGCACGAAAAGTGCAAAAACGCATAATCGCACCGGCCCGCCTGGTGCGTTCCAGCCTGGGTTTGCAATAAAAATATTCCCAAAAGCGCGGTCACTAAAAATATCACCTTGAAATTTCGGGGTTATTTTTTCCCACTTTCGAATAGCCGCAATGCTTGAAATTGAGGTCAAATTGAGCAATTTTTTATTAAAACTTATGCCATCCGGTTGAATTTTTGTTTTATTTGTTCATTAAATGTTGTTTAGATAGAAAGAACATTGGATCGTTACAAGCTTTTCCGTGACGAAGGGCCATCATCGAGCGGCAAATTTGGTCCATATTTACAATCTCAGCGAAAACCATTTTACGAGGAAGCTGCCGAGCAACTCATTGAAAGCGGACATGCGTATCGATGCTTTTGCACAAAAACAGTACGATTAACTTATTTTTTCAAAAAACCTTTGAGGGCTGCTCGGGCGCTTCGTTACTCATTCCTGATCCGTATTTCCTTAGTAAAATGTGAATGTATTTACAGTTTTTGGCAGGCGGTTACACGTGAAAGGGGCTACCAGTTGATGCAAGCTTCATAGCATCGTCGATGTCTTCAAAGTGTCAAATTGGGAGGACCATGCTGACCTCTTCAGTACCACTTCATAAGCCTCACAAAAGTAATTGATTTAAGCGATTGGATATGTTACGTCGGGAAGCAGCGAGACGACACGAGGTACCGAAGTATGACAATCACTGCCGTGATCTACGTGCCGAAGAAGTCCGCAGGAAAATAGAAAACGGCGAACAGTATACTGTTAGATTCAAATTGCAGCAAAATGAAGTATTTTTTAAGGTAATACTTTTTTCGGATCATTAAAAACAACGATTGAGCTAAAAGATATTTGCAAACAAAGCCGTTTCTGCCAAGTTCGTGCACCGGCAGGAAATTGAACTGCTAATCTTCGTAATCCCTAAATCGTTGTAAATCTGACGTTTTATCCGTTACGCTGTCGTCCTGTGCACTCAGAAACAGCAATTGGAACTTACGTATGCTGCTCGCACAGATCTGTATTCTTCAATTGCTGCCCCAACCAATTTTCAATTTTTGCAAGGTTTTCACGCGTACCGCAATAATTTACACCCCCAAATGCCTTGATAAGCATTAGTGAATTTTTATTTTTTTGAGTTTTCTCCCAGTAACAGCTACTTTTAGGATGAAAATTATGGAGAAATAACACAGCGAGCAGATGAAGGTGATTTTATACTGCTCAAAGCCGATTCTTTTCCAACCTATCATTTGGCCAACGTGGTGGATGACCACTGGATGAGAATCAGCCATGTGATACGTGGAAGCGAATGGCTTACATCCGTCTCAAAACATGTTCAACTATATCGGTCAGTTTGGTTTTTTTTTTTTCCTTATCCCGAAGCTTCCACTACAAGAAAGAATAAAAATCGAATTTTTTTTCTCAGCTCAAATATTTTTTTTTTGCCTTCTCAAGAGAAATATGTGTGTGCAAGAAGTACTTTTCTGCATCTGCGACGTGACAGTCTTGTCTTTTAAGAATGTAACATCATAGAATCGGAAAATTTTAGCCACATTTTTACGCACTGCTTTCCAACACCTGTTTTGTTTTAGTAATGAAACTAAGAAGATTTTGCGTCTCATTCTTTTTCTGAATGTATGTCTCATTTTTCCCTTTTCGGGGAATTCCCTTTCGTTCAAGAAAAGATTTAGGTCTTTTTTTATTAAAATCACCTGTAACTGGCGTCACCAAGCAGCAAATTTCTTCAACACTTGTCAACGCGACAAGACACAGAGCTCTCG